CGCCATCGGACGCTGCGCCACAGCACGGAGGGCAAACTGCGACACGCACAGCCGCGGGATGGCCCGCACACCATGGTGCCGATGAGGGGAACACGGGACAGCAGGAGCCGAATGACACTCGCCCGGGACAGAAATCAGACAGGTGGGCTGGGAAGTGACTCGAATGGGGACAAGGGAGTTGTCTGGGGGATGAAAATGCTCCTCACCCTGCGCGAGGGACAGCTACGTGGGTGTGCGCAGCTGGCAAGCTCACTGGGCTCACTGAAGACCGTGCATTTCAAAGTATAAAAGTTAAATCAAAATTAAATTAAATAAGCAAAGATAAGGGCCCCAAATTAAAAATAATACTTTAAAATCACAAAATAATTGGCAGGCCTTGCTGAGATGCCCTTGCTCATTCCCAGGTTGGCAGGACCACGGCACAGGTGGGACAGATTAGCCGAGGGCTCTCCGAATACCAGACCAGCTCTCCATTAACGGAGAAACCCTCGCTGGGCATCGATAAAGACGGACCTGTGTCCCCCAGAGTGATGTGCTGGAGCCTGGAAACCCCGCGTGAGGGCGATGGCGTCCGCCAGCCGGAAAGAGGCCTCCCCAGGAAGCTCGTCAAGATCCGGGAGAACTGAGTGTCTTGCGTAAGCCCCCAGGTGGTGTTTGGCTGTAACAGCCGGGCTGTTTCACGCAGCAATTGTGTTGTTGACAGATCTGATTTGCTCCTGGGTGGGACCAGGTGCCCCATCAACACAAGGAAGACACAGGTGCACCTGGAACACGTGTGTTTGTGTTTGTATATGTGTGTATGTATGTGTATATGCATGTGTGTATGTGTTTGTGTGTTCATGTGTATGTGTATGCACACACGTTTGTGTATGTGTGCACGTATGCATGTATGTATGCACATGCATGTGTATATGTGTACGTGTGTGTATGCATGCGTACATGCATCCTTGTATGTGTTTGTGCATGTGTGTATGTGTCCACATCTGTGTATGTGCATGTGCATATATGTGTACCTGCATGCACACATGCGTCTGTGCATGTTTATGCATGTGCGCATGTGTGTATGCATGTAGGCATGTGTGTGCGTGCGTGCATGTGTATGCGTGTGTGTGCATATGCATGTGTGTATGTGTGCATGTATGCGTGCATGTGTGTGGTTGGGGGCAAAGCTGTGTGCTGGCCATGGGGAGCTTAAGGGAAAAACGCAGCAGTCTCAGCCTGGTGAGCAGTGACCTCAGTGAAAATAAAATTATTTCCTCGGCAATCGTCCGCCTACGGCCCTGGCGGGACAGTGACGAGGGAGGCGCAGGAGCAGGCGGGGCTGTGCCCGGGGCCTGCGCTCACCAGGCTGCAGGAGGGAGGCCTGGGAGAGGGGACGGGGCAGAAACAGAGGCCAGGGCCAGTCGTGTCCGGGAAGGCGGCCGCGAAGGAGCGCCCCGCGGCGGCTGTGCGCGCAGGTCCTCACGGCGCTCGCTGCGAAGACCCCGACGGAGGTTCCCAGGGACTCACGGAAGAGGCCCGGCCCAGCGAACTCTGGAGTGTTCCATGAGGAGGTCGCCAGGAATCCCGAGCATGCGGCCGCGGCTCCTCGCACGTAAACTCACAGGGAAAAGCACGCCGCTTGTAAACGCGTGTCGACAGAGACAAAAGCCAGAAGCACGATCTCGGAAAGAGGTAAATATTTTGAAGTTCTCTACATTTCACCCTCTGGTTTGCATTCAGAATTTTAAAAAATCTTGATGACAGGTTTCGGTTTCTCCTGTGTGTGTCCGGCCGGCAGCAGGGCGCCCTTCGATGGCGGACGGAGCCGAGAGGGCGAACAGGCCGGGGCGTGAGTTGTCCTCTGCGGCGCCCTCTTGCGGGTGGCTCAGCTGCCCGGGCCACCGGACACCCAGTGACACCCCAGCACGTCGAGGTCTCTCCACAGAGAGAGGCTGTGTGGGGTCGGGGCTCCGGGAGGGCAGGACACAGCGGGATTCTGGAAAGTGCCCGATTCACCCCTCCCCCGGGGGCCACAGAGGCTCAGAGGCGGGGACTCGGCAGGGGGGACTGACCCGGAGGCCCCCAGACTCCTGCGCGAGGCCCTTGGCCTGCCTGGGCCCGTGTCCCGCAGAGCCCTCCAAGAAGCACAGTTGACAGGACGAGTGTCGGGGGAGGAGCTCGCCGTGGGACCGGCCCGCGGGACGGTGGAGGCTGGCGACCGTGGCCCACGTGTGGGCGACTCGCAGCCCAGGAGCGCAGGCAAAGGCCACAGGCCACCCGTGGGGAATCCCTCTTGCCCGGGGAGGGCGGGCTTTTTGTTCTCTTCGGGCCTTAGACGGCTTGGACAAGGCCCACCCTCGGCCTTACCTGGAGTCCACAGGTGTGAAAACTAATCTCATCCAAACGCCCCTGACTGACACACCAGGTCGGGCACTCAGGCCACCGTGCTCCCAGCCTGGGTGGCCTTCCCTTACCCCGGTGTGGCTACCCTGACTCCGAGGGCGCTTCTGGGGGTCCCGCCCGTGGAGTCACCCCCAAGATGACCAGCCACTGCCCCCTGGGGCTGCCACCCAACGGGCCACTCTGGGCCCTACTCTGCTGCTTTCCTCCCTAGGCGCTGTGCCTGCCGGCTACACGGGCTCTCCTACAACCCGGTAAAGCCAGGAACCCCAGGTGGCCCCTAAGAGACGTGGCTGTCCTCCACATCCCTCAGGTAGGGTGGGGAGACTGAGCTGACAAAAACCCAAGCCAGCCAGTTACCTCTGAGCTCCAGACGGATAACACCCTGCCAGTCTAAGTACGTCCCACGTAATATTGGGGATACACCGACACTAAAAAGCAGTACTCACTGTTTTTCCGAGATTCGAATCTAATTAGGCACCTTGTATGTTACCTGGTATCCTTGGCCACCCTCCTGGGGCAGCAGATCCAGGGCCGTTACCACAGTCCACCCGCCCGGAGACACCAGGGACAGCGAGGCTGGGGGGCAGGGGCAGGCGGTGATGTCAGACAACTCTTGAGCAGAGGAGTCAAGGACCTTCCGGGATGCGTCCTGGACGCCGCAGAGCCCAGCGTCACCGCAGCCCCCGAGCACAGTCTGCAGGGCGCGCCCGGAGGTCGCCGCGCTGGGCTCTCGTCTGTCTCACACGCAGTTTCCTAGTGGACCAGGCTGGTCTAGGCCACTCCGGGGCCCAGCATTGGAAGCCAGTGTCAGCCTGCCCCACCCCGAGTGCTGCTGATGACACTGAGATAGGGTGAGGGCTGGAGGGACAAGTGTCGGCAAGGCCACGTGCACCCCAGGACAGCAGGGACACGCCCTCATGGACAGCAGGGACGGGCTCTCCGTGGACAGCAGGACAGCCGCTCTACAACAAACCCCTCCCTGAAGTAGCCCAGCCTCCCTCTCAAGGGTCCAACCCCGCTCCCAAGCCACGTCCCCACTGCCGACGCCGACTTCCCTGCACCTCGGGGTCACCAAGCCCTGTTCGTGCGACATCGTCCCAGCATCTCCAGCGGGACGGACGGAGGGAAGGGTGAGAACAACCCTCCCGTCAGCCACCCCTGGCCTCCTGGGTGTGCTCCGCGGGGCAAGCCGCGATTCTCTTTTTCATGGAAGGATCCTGTTGGGTATTGTTTTCATTTCGGGTTTTTGCATGTATGTGTTTGAATGAGTTTGGCTTTTAAACTTCCTCCCTTGTGTGAAGTTTTCAGATTTTGCAGTCAGATTATTTTATAAGGTGAAGTAGGAAGTTTCCCATCATTTCTTGCTATGAAGAGTTTATCAAGAAAACAGTGTTTTTCAAAGTGTTGAAAATGCTGAAATGATCATGCGAGCATTGACGTATGTTTTGGAGGTAATCTGACAACTAAGTTTTCATTTTCCCTGCACGGCGGCCTGTCTGGGCTTTCTAACTTCCGCTTCGGGCAATTTTGATCACTGGTCTTTCCTAGAAACTTTCCCTTCGTTCACGTCTCTGAAATTTCTGGTGCTAACACACAACACTATTTTCTGACACGTTTAATCTCACGACTCTTCTTACACGTTTTGGGTTCTCAGCATTTGTATTTGAGTAGCCTATTACATAAGTTATCTGGAGGTGTGTGGATTGATCGCCTATAAAGTTTTTCTAATTTGTCAAATGTGCTCTTATTCCAAATCTCTTATTAATAAGTTGTGAAGGCATCACATACGCAAGAGAGTGTTTAGTTTTTTAAGAGTTTAAAGAATAATAAAACGAGCACCCACGTACCCGCGTGCAATCCGAGATGCAGAATGCTGCGGGCTGCGGTCACAGATGACTGAGAGTTTTATTAACAACATGGAAACGGCCGAGCGTGAAACCACGTGTGGGCCCCGAGGTCGCAGCATGCGAAGCCTGTCCCGCCTCCAGCCTTCGCCCTCCGTTCGCGGCCGGACGGGAAATGAAATCGGCCTCACCTGGCTGCCCTGCAAACCCTCCCCTGCCTGCCCCGCGAAGCCGCTGTGCGGGATGGGGCGGAGGGCCGTCTCCCCAGTCTCCTGGCTGTGCACCCCCAGGGCCTTCCCAGCCTAGCTTCCGGCAGGGACACTACCCTCTGCCTGGAGGCCTGCCCGGTGGCGCTGCCCACCCTCCTCCTCCTGCAGGTCTGGGTCGTCTCATCGGGCCTGGGGGCTGCCCAGCCAGGCAGGAGTCCTCGCGCCTGGTGCAGGGCTGGGCATTAGACACGGGAACGGGCCAGCAAGGGCTTGCCCAAGAGGGCATTCTGAGTGTCAATGGTCACTCATGAGGTCAGCTGCAGGGACCAGGAGGTGGCCTGGGCCCAAGGCCAGAGGTCCCCGTGGGTGGGGCCATGGGGAGGGACACATACCATGTCCAGGCTTGAGATTCCTGACCTGCCCCTAATGCATTGATGGGTAAACTGAGGCTGGGAGGGAGGTGGGGGGCGGGGAGGTGGGCTTGCTGCCTGGGCTGGTGACCAGGACTGTGCTCACGAGTCATTGCGGAGTCCCCACGAGAAACACGAAGGAGCCGTGGCGCTCTGTAAAGAGCGTATAAATATATTTCCGTGTAGACACGACACAATAAATAGGCGGCAGTGGGTGCGTCTCCCAGCGGTGCACCTGCTCGCACACCTGGGCGCCACGACACGAGCGGCTGGGCCAAGGCTGACGCCACGGGGACGTGTGCCCGAGCTCCGTTGTTTTGAGGTAAAACTTTATGGAAACTCTTCCCTTCGGGTGAGATCCCTGCTGACGCCGCGCTGGCCAGGCTGGCGGGCTCTGTCTGCAGCCGGAAGGACGCAGAGCCACCGAACGCGGCAGCCGGGCAGTCACCGGGCCCGAGGCTCTGGCACAGCCACCTGCCCAGGGCGGGCGAACCCGACTTGGAGAGGGCGCGGAGGTGGACGGGCGTCCCACCAGCCCAAGGGCCACGGACGGCCCTGCCTGGACCCCGCCTGCTGCCCACCGGCTGCCCCAGGCTCAGCGCGCCCGGGGGTCCAAGGCCACCTGGGTTGGGAGTATTGGGGTCCTCCCCGGCCTTGTCGCCCTGTTCCCAGCAGCCCGCGCTCCCTCAGCGCGTCCTCAGCCGCAGGACCCTGGACAGGGGCTCCTTGGCGCTGGAGTAGATGAGGTAGGAGCCGGCCGAGGTGTTGAAGGCCTCCCAGTCCCTGCAGCCGAAGGTGGGGAGGCTGTGCACCGCCACGAAGCCCTCGTAGCCCTGCCACCTGCGGACACAGCACCAGACGTCCTCAATTCCACCTGCGTACTTGTTCAATTTGGCAAAAATCACGCCCCTTAGTACATGCTGGCCGGGCCCTCCTTCCCCAGTCCTCCTTTTCAAAAATTTCTTGGCCCTCTTTGA